ATATATATATATATATATATATATATATATATATATAGCGATCAAGGATCGTGTGAGAATATAAGTTAAAATGAGAAGTGTGAAAGGAGATTTTAACTTTTGATTACTTTTAATCTCGAACCAACTCATAAATTGTGTTTTAGAAGAAAATTAATTTAGTTTAGATTTAATGTTTCTCTTTGATTAGAATTGATCCAAAAATAAAATCATGCTTCTTACCATAATTTTCAAATTCTATTTATATATAATAATGTTGGCACGGGATGCTTAGTTGGAATCACGTCTTGAAAGACTAGACGACAATCACCCTTAGATGCCAAAGCTGTAACCTACTTTCCGGCTTTTTTTTCCTCCTTTGTCTTTTCTATATATTTTTATTTGTTGATTTATATATTTAAATAAAAATATATTTACAGAAAAATATTGATTATTATCTCCAATAATTATGTTATATTTTTTTGTAAAACAAAGTATTAAAAGTCAAATTCTCTAAAAAGATTACATTCAACTTCAGTGGTTATTTTATTTTAGTAATTCTAACATTGATTGTATTATTAAAATATTTAATAAAAAAATATTTTTTTCTATTAAACATTTATTTTTAAAATCTTTTATTGGTAAAAAAATATTAAAATAATAATTTCTCTCTCTCTCTATTTAGAGATTTTTTACATTCTCTCGGGTCTTTTTTTTTTATTTTTAAAATAGAGGATAACATAGTTGTTGGAGGAAGATAAATCTCTCGTTTCTCGATTTTATCGCAGTTGTTGGAAATGTTCTTATAAACACATATTTTTCATTCATGATTGATATAAATCTCATATCGGCTCAGGAGAAGAAGAGATGTCGTCTTATAAAACAATGGATACGTCTTCTATTTCATGCTTTTTAAAATCGTATATCCAGATATAAACAAAGGGGACAAGATTTGGTATAGTTAGCTTGAGATGTTACAGATAATTTATATCTTAAAGCCTAAAATAACATGTTAGCCTATTAATTTTCAAATTCAACTTAAAACTATGCTATAAGCTATTGATAACTGCTTTCCATATGAAACAAGTTGTCATAGTTAAATCGATTAATATTTTAGTATATATGATAAATAATACTGTAAAAACAAATAAAGAAGATAATTGATACGAGGGAATGTAAAAGGCAAAAACAAAAAGTGGACATAAGACGTGTTGGTTTAAAATATATTGAAATAATGATCCATTTAATAATTAAATATTCTAAAGTAAGGAAAAAGAGCCAAAAAGTTAGATGTGGGGTTGGTTTGCTCCATATATTTTCTTCTTTGTCAGCGCAAATATTTAATAAATAAAAACATTATTCGCATATTTATTTCCAAAAATATTGCTCAACTTATAAGTTTGTTTTGAACCGTAGATTATCACAAGACATTTTATTTAGATGCTGATTTAATAATATTAAGCCTTAAAGAAAGGAGATTGGGGGCTGATATCTCCTTGTTTTCGATTAATTGGGGAATTATTACCAACCAACTTTACTTACTTGTCAAAAGATATTTCTGTTACAAAATAATCATTTAATTCAGATCCCCACACTTTACCAAATTTGACCATATTTGTTGTACCAAGTTAGTTGCCTTGCCACCATATCGGATTCAATTATTATACATTCTCCTTATTCTTCCTTCTGCTTTCAAACGCATGATGATATTCTTTAAATAAAATAATACATAAAGAGATTTTTTTTATATAAAGTTGTCAAATAGCATTAGCATTAGAAAAGAAAATCAAGTCTTCCTTCATTCTTCGTTTAATTTCAACGTAAATGTAACTCGTAATCATGATATGAATATCAAAAACTAAACTAAAATAAAATCATAAGCAGCATCATTATCCATCCAATGTTTTAAACAGAAATCAAAAAACGCAACAGTCCAAAGGAAACAAACAGCAGCCATACGACTCTTATTCAACATAACACAAGACACAACCCTTCTTCATTACTTACTACTAAATCTACTCTTACTCCTTTTCTTCATTCTCCTTCTCTTTCCAGCTCCCACTTTTCAAAACAGATCGAGGAGAACCACAGCAGCTCCCATCTTTCTTCACAAACTTCTGGTAAATGATTGAACCTTCTCCGCCCAGTTCTTCACCGCACGTCTCTTCCACGCTGTATCCATCCACATCAATCCAGCATGTCTTCTCGAGAGACTTTGATGCCACGGCTGCACCAACAGCAATCGAGAATTCACCTGGTTCAAAACACGCCAGCACCCTTTCAACCATCTTCTCCAGGCTCACTGCTTTTAGATCGTACCCAACTGCCTCAAAGCTAGCATAACTGAAACCATCTTCAGGGGTCACATGAATGGTTGAGATCGCACCATCTTCAATTGCATTCATGGAATAACCACATGGCTCGAACTCAAAATCGCAGATGTCCGAGTCTGGGAGTATCTTTCGTATACCAGAGTCGTTCGTCATGGTTCCAGCAGAGCTCCATTGAGTCTTGTAGAAGACAGATGCCTTCTCCCTGTCCAAACTAGTCATGCACATCTCCAGTGTGTAGACAGGATCTCCAGAGGATACAGGTCCAGCCGAAGCAGAATAAATGAACCATTTTTGGGGTTTGTCGAAACCACCCATCACGTACGCTTTGCTGCTCAAACCAAGCTTCTCGAAATGACCATCGAGCACAGAAACTTCTTCGGAGAAGCTGCGATGTGGGTAGGACTGCGCACCAGGGAAGATGAAGCTACCACGGGTGTACCTCACTGACCGGACAGTGAGGGAGATGGAGTCAGCAAGCTTCATAATGGGCGGGATCGACAAAAGCAGCTTGGTTGTCCCACAAGTTTTGATGACGATCTTGTACGGGAAAACAAATAGACTAGACTCAGATAGAACGTATGAGTCTACCTGGTCGTTTGACAACGAAGAGACTATTGTGCATTCAGCTGGGTTCAGAATCTCATCCAGTTGGGCTTTAGAAAGCGCCCGGAGACCCTGCCCTTCAGGATCAGCAAAGATGCTTGGCTCAACAAACGTTATTTCGAGCCTCTTTTCATAACCTTCAAAACCAATTGCAGAAACTGCCTGCGCCATTTCTTTCTAGGGAACAACTTAACCACCAAGGGAGCAATGACAAAAGAATCCGAGAACAGAAGAAAAGGAGGAAAAAGGGTGCTAATACTAAACTAATTGGAAAGCAGTAAATTAAAAGCACGTCAATCGACGTGAAGGGAACCTAACTCAAGCTATATCAGGATGGTTTGCGAGCGCACTGCATCAGGAAGATGAAAACAGAGTATCAGTATAGAACCAATAGAAACAACAAACTCTAAAAAATATAAACATCAAGCATGAAATATAGAATACTGTCATTGCCCAAACACGTACGTTGGAGTAAGCAGCCGATCTGAACTTCTTGATTCCTCCGTTTGGTCGAACGTCTTCAATGCTGTATCCTAGGGGAGCTTCATAAAATAAAGATTTACTACTACTACTAGACTTTTTCCCACCTTTGGTCTCCATTAGAACATTCAGTTTTCCTGTTTCATCAAACATATGACAATGTTAGAAAAGCAAAAACAAAATCACTTCCCAATGAAGAGCATAGAGACAAGTTACGATAAAAGAATGGCTATTTGTCAAGTGAACATGATAGTTCAGCAGATACATATACATTATACAATACCAAGTTAAAATCAGAAACTATTTTTTGTATAATTCAGAGAAGGCACATGAGATGGCCATAACAGCAGGAATTCTGGAAACATTTTCAAAACATCAAGAACTTATGTTACAGACCATAAGGAACATAGCCTTACAGCCAAAACAGCCCAAGAATAATAGATGCCCAATAATTATCCTTATTATGCATAACATGACCCAACTACAAGAGATGGATGGATGAGCCATAATTCAAAGCTAAATTCATCTCTTTCTATTGCTCAAACTTGATCACCAGTCTTCGAACAAAACAAGACTTAACAAGAACAGAAGTACAACTATTATCTAAAAAAATCAAAAATAAACGTAGCAGGCCCTCAACAATCAACCGAACATATCGTTTCCCAATACTTCCATTATAAAACCGAGTCAAATGTTTAAAAAAAAACAGGCACATATCCCCGATCTAAAACAAAAATATTATCTAGATCATAAAAACAATATCTGAAACCATATACAGAAGAGTTTAATAAAATTTAGAAAAAAAACGACGCCATTCCTTCAGAATGTTATTCTTACAAAAAATTTGATCACACAGCCTTGAAATCCAATCAAAACCTCAAAAACTTAATACAAGTCACAAGATTGAAAACCCTAGGTCCAAATCTGAGGCGCAACACATGCATAGGTTCCTATTGTGAGAATATGCATATACATTCATATAAAGACATATCATTCCCATCGATCTATTATGAGAGATTTACACTTACAATTCAAGGTTTGGTATGTATGATTTCTCTCGAACAAACAATTAAGAATCCGATCTGCAAGAAAACCCAAAAAACATCAATAAAAGAAGAAAACGCAGAAATCGGAAACAGAAGAAATAGGATAACAGACTTACAGTTAAAGAGAATTGTATAGAGCAAGATGATGATGATGATGATGAAAGAAGAAGAGGCGAATTGTAATGGTTTAGGGTTAATCGTAAACGTAATGTAGATAAACGGCAGGGATGGAGGGGTATATATAAGGGTTGGCCATGAATATGAGCCACTAGTTTTAGAAAAAATTACATAAGATGCCACCGGGTGTAGTTACCTAGAGGCTTCCTTGCGGTGTCTGACGTCCAAACCACGAGTTTGGAATATTTTTCAGAATTACAGCTGGTGGGAGGTTGGGGTTTCTTTGAGTTCGTAACCTGATAATAATTTGATAAAAATTCTTAAAAATTATTTTTTATGTATAAATATAAGATAAATATCTAATTTTAAATATATAAAATCTAAAATATAATTAAGATAATCATTAAGTTTTAACAGAATCTTTGATTATTATATTTATAAATATTATATTATTAAACCAAAAATAAATTATTTTCTTGTTAAACTTAATAAATTATAATAAAAAAATAAATTAAATAAATTATTTTAAAAATGATAACTTCTAAATAGTTGATTTGATACTAATGTTGATATATTATTTTTAAAATTTTATAATATCTTTAAATTTACATTTAATTCAAAAATAAAATCATTATTACTTTATTAAAAACACATGAAATTGTATTATAACATCGACAGTGTCAAAAAAATAGAACATTAAAATCGAGATGTATCTCATTGTATTGCGCAAATACTCTTCTAATAGTTTTTTTAAATGAAGAAGAAAAATTAAATTTTGAGTTAATATTTTGTTCTAACAGCTTCTTTATAACTATCTTCAAACTAAATAAAGTAGAAGAGAGAATTTTTTTTTTAAATGTAGAGAACATCCCAAAAATAATAACCAAGTAAGATCACCAATAAGAAATTTAAAAATAAAATAAAAGAGAGAAATAATATTTTAATAAATAAATGAAATATTATAATATAATATTATAATCAATATTAAATTATCCAAAATGGGAAATCTATTAGAGAAGAATATAACTTTTTTCGAGATTTTAATTTTTGGTTCTCCATTTTGAAAAATTTGTTGAATATGTTCTAAGTTAGTTGGTGATTGATAAACTAACTGATGAATTAATCATGTTTGACAAAAACTATCTGATAAAAAGGTAAAATGATTAAAAATTACATGTTAAAAAATAAGTCAATTAAAAAATATAATATATTGATTAAAAAAAATTTAATTAATTATTATATTGTATTATAATATTGGATCTGAAAAAACAAATTTTAGAAAAAATCTATACATATATAATGGAGATTTTGTTTTCTATTTATTTGGTAGATTCTTTAATATTGTTACTTTAAATTGAGAAAGCATGAAGAAAGAGAAACATTTAAGTTCAAAAAAATTGAAACTAATTTTAACAAGGAAGAAAATATTGTTTTAATTGAAATATTAAATGTATGGTGTTATATTAATTAAAAAAATTTGATGGGGTATATTTATTTTTCAAAGAATCTAACTTTTAATTCTTTATTAAAAATATTATGTAGAATTTGTTGGAAATATTAAATGAATTTGATTTGAGTTATTGTGATTTACATTTTATTTTTAAAGTATTTTTAAATTTCCAAAACAAAATTGATTTAGTTTGTGAACATCAAATCATTTATTATCATTATCTATACTATATTATAAAGCATTTGACAAAAACTTTTAAAAATGATCTTTTATACACGAATTACTGTTTATTGATGCATATTACTTAAAATTTAAGATTACAAGTAAATTGTGTATAAGTACAACTTATTAAAACTTCATACTTGAATTCATCTAACTAACTGTAGATAAACATAATCAGATATTGAATAAACATCTCATTTTAAATATACAAAATCTAAAATATAATTAGGATAATCATTGATAACTAACAGAATACTTAGTTATTATCTTATAAAAAATTATATTATTAAACCTAAATTAAATTTATTTGTTACTGAACCTAAATTATCTATATACTATATTATAAAACATTTGACAAAAACTCTTAAAAACGATTTTTTATGCACAAAGTGTTATTTATTGATGCATATTACTTAAAAATTTAAGATTACAAGTAAATTGTGCATAAGTACAACTTATTAAAGCTATATACTTGAATTCGTCTACTGCAGATAAACATAATCAAATATTGGATAATCATCTCATTTTAAATATAAAAAATCTAAAATATAATTAGGATAATCATTGGTAACTAACGGAATACTTAGTTATTATCTTAATAAAAAATTATATTATTAAACCTAAATTAAATTTCTTTGTTACTAGACCTAAATTAAATTATAATTAAAAAAATTAATTAAGAAAATTACACCAAAACACAAAAACTTTTAAAAAATTAATTTAATACTGATATTGATATTTTTTTTTTCAAAATTTTATGATATTTTTAAATTTATATTTTATTCAAAAATAGAAACATTATCACTTTCTCAAAACCACATAAAACCAATGTTTATTTAAAATTCAAAATTACAAGTAAATTATGCAAAAGTACAATTTATTAAAGTTCGATGTTTAAATTCGTATGACTAACTGCGGATAAAAATAATCAAATAGAGGATAAACATCTCATTTTAAGATATAAAAAATCTAAAATATAATTAAATAATTATCGAATTCTAACAAAATAAATAATTATTGTTTCTATAAGAAAATTATATTATTAAACCAAATATAAATTATTTCGTTATTGTACCTAAATTAAATTATAAAAAAATTAAATTGAAAAATTAAACAAAAATATGAGGAATTTTAAATAGTTAATTTGATACTAATATCGATATATTTTTGTCAAATTTTTATGATATCTTCAAACTTATATTTTATTCAAAAATAAAAACATCATCGTTTTTCTCAAAATCACATAAGACCATACTATAACATCGACTAAGATGAATAAAATGAAATACTAAAATCAAGATGTATCTTGCTGCATTGCGCGAGTACCCTTCTAGTTAGTATTATTATACATATATATTATATATAATGTATAATATGTATTATACAAGGGATGGATCGTATAAAAAAAAGAGTTAAAATGAGAAACGATAAGAAGTGGTTTGGACCGTTGATCACCTTTATTTTCAAACTCACACATGAATCATGCTTGATACAAGGGTTGATCTGGTGCATCTCATTCTAATATGCATCTAAGAATAGAGATATTTTTTTATGCTTCTCATTTTACCGCTCATTCTCACCAGAATTCAACCCACATTGTATATTATTGTATATGTATCATATAATGCAACGTGATACATCTTGATTTCATGATCAAAAACTCAAAGCCTTAACCTTAATTGGTTTTTCATTTTATTATATATCCCTCTCAATTTTATTGCACTTTTTGTGTGGTTTTGAAAAACCGATATGGTATTTGGTTGGTTATCGATTAATTTTATAAAGTACAAATATAGAGTTGTATGTATGCGGTGAAAAGTTGTAAAAAATGAATTTTAAGAGCATCTCCAACAACTTTTAAATAAGGTATTTAAAATCAAATATATATTTACATATTAATAATATAGTAAATATATTTATATTATAAAACATTTGACAAAAACTTTTAAAACTCATTTTTATGCATAAAGTACTGTATATTGATGCATATTACTTAAAATTCAAGATTACAAGTAAATTATGCATAAGTACAACTTATTAAAGTTACATGTTTGAATTCATATAACTAACTGTGGATAAACATAATCAAATAAATGATAAACATCTCATTTTAAAATATAAAAAATTTAAAATATAATTAGGATAATTATCAAGTTCTAACAGAATCATTATCTTTATAAAAAATTTGTTGTTAAGCCATAAATAAATTACTTTACTATTTGACATAAATTAAATTATAATAAAAAATAAATTATAAAAAACAAGAACTTTTAAATAGTTAATTTGATATTAATATCAACTAGAAGCGTACTCGCGCAATGCAGCGAGATACATCATGATTTTAATATTTCATTTTATTCTTTATCTCAGTCGATATTATAATACGACTTTATGTGATTTTGAGAAAACAATGATRTTTTTATTTTTGAAAAAAATATATGTTTGAAGATATCATAAAAATTTGACAAAAATATATCGATATTAGTATCAAATTAACTATTTGAAATTCTTCATTTTTTT